CACATTTTGGGCCGCCCTGTGCCCCCCGCCACTGTCACTGTCACTGATAATGGCCTCGCTATCAGAAGACGAAGCAGTTAGCATATCTGATAGCTCATCAGAGAACATATCTAATATTTCCTGTCCTCCGAGAGATCGCAACTGCTTTTGTCTCTGAGCCATGTTGAACTGGTAGCTGCGTGGTTGATACGTGCAAGCTTGGATTAGAACAAAGCCAATTTTGTTTAGGTTGTGACAGGAAATGACTCTGGTCGAGTTACTAGATAAGGCAGCAATCATTCCCAAGGTCATCTATGCAGTAGTTACAATTCAACGAAGCCACACAGCGATATATAGCGTTTTGCAACATAACGTGACTGTAGAGGGCCATATGGCCCACCCGGTCCGCAACGCTTGGAAACGTAGAGGGCCATATGGCCCCTCCGGTCTGCAATGTGTTAAGAACATTAAGGTTGGACTGTATCATGATGTGGTAAAATCCAAATTTTCATTGTGTCTGTAGCCCCATTTTAATATTATCTTCCCATTTATAGGTAGGTTTCAAAACTAAATTTCCCAGTCAGAATGTTATACTACAACTTTCCTGGTTACTGTCTAATGGTGTGACTTATCTGGTTGATTCATTACACAAACAGTATGCTGCCCATTGTCTGAGGTATATTTGGGGTGGTTGGGTTATACAGACAAGTTGCTAGGAATGGTACTTAGATCTCTGGGAGGGGGAAGGAAGTCAGAACCCAGTCCATGTTAGTATGGTGTCACAGCCTGAAGAACATTGGGGGGGGGCAGTAACTGAAGCATGTTTTCATGTAGAATGACCCATAATGATACAAAATTTAATTAAATGTGTATTTAGATGTAGCCCTATAAATTCAGGTAAGAGGAATCTTCCTTTAAACATTATGGAGAATAAGAAAGTATGGAAAACTTAATGTGTTCAGAAGACCACTGTTGAGTGTTAAATATACAAATTAGGAGTAGTATGCATAACACAGTGGGTCTTTTTAAATGATCTCAAAAGCAGTTAAAACTTACAGAAAAATTTTACCAGACATAAAATGTGCCTCATTTTACTGTACATGAACATTTTTCAGTCCAATAAACATTTATGTAGTTACACGAAGTATATGCATGGAAACCCATGCAGGTCTTCATATAGTGTCCAAAACTATGCCAAATTTCAGCCAAAACTGGACGTGTCCAGATTTTATTAAAACTCCACATTATCAAATTTCATGAACAATAAATTACTCAGTGACTCTTTAGTTGTAAACATACCTATAAAACAACAACAAAAAAAGTTTGTCAGTATGACAACCAGGGGAAACCGAAGTACTCGGAGAAAACCTGCCCCAGTGCCACTTTGTCCACCACAAATCCCACTTGACCAGACCTGGGATCGAACCTGGGCCGCCGCTGTGGGAAGCCAGTGACTAACTGCTTGAGCTGTGGCGCAGCCCCAAAAATTTAATTTACTTCTTTCATATTAACCCATGTTTCCTGTAATTGGTTGGAAAATATCTCAAAACCCAAAGATCCGTATTATCCCCCACCTTCGGTCTAGATATTTCAAGAGTTTTTGCTAAATAAAATTCTGTATCTTTTATTGCCTACCCAGGTTTATCTCACAGTCTGTTGTGGTGGGCCTCAAACCAGCAAATCATATCGTCACATTTAAGTCATATCATCATCCTTTCTTACTCTGCTATGAACCAGAAGGTTGCCAGTTCAATTTCCAGTGAGGTAATTGGATTTTTAAATTGACCGAATCCTTCCAGCTGTACTATGGGGTGGATTCAGCCTCTAGTAGAAATGAGTAGAAATGAGGATTGTCCTGGGGGTAAAGGGTGATGGGAATGTAAGGTTGACAACCTCACCGCTGTCTGTGAGCCAACTGCCAAGAAAATATGGAAGCCTCAACGTCTCACACTCCTATGGGCCTCCACGGCCTGTTGCAGAGATAGCTGTATCTTTCTTTATGCTATCATCCTTTCTCGTATTTTGGTTATTGAGACCTGTTATGGCCTCCTGTCAAATAGGTACCAGGGGCACTTTCCCCAGGTGTGGGAGTGCATGGAGCTGGCCACTCACCTCCATCTAGTGTATAATTAATTAAGCATAGGGCAGATTTGCATTTGTGGATACTAAAAAACAGAATGCTGTATAGCTACATAATTTAACTCTTTGTGATTTGTGATGTTTGTAGGTGGTAGAGTCAGTACTGGAGAGAAACTGGGAAGGAAACATGGAAGGCGGTTCCATTGTGCTGCATTCTACAGCAGAATTCTGCCGTACGTTGGGTGACATCACCACGTATGGTCTGGCTGGCAACAGGGATGAGTACACTCAGGAACTACTTGTGAGTGCAATACAACCATTTGCAGATTTGGTAATGGCACTTTGGTTTAGCATGTGTCAACACTGGATACAGTTCATTGCCCATCTACAGCTGCAACAGAATTAGAATATATTTTAATTACAGTTGAATTTCATGATAATGGATATATAAATTACTGAACTGAGTACAGAACTGGAAACATCCAATGAAAGGTCCTAGAAATGAAAGCACTCTATACACTAAGAATCTGATAGTTGGAATGGTAGAACCTTTTTCTTCTTCTTCTTGACAAATGGTGTCTTCTGGAATAAAATGCCATATAAAGTGATAAAGTACATAAGCATTTTCAAGGAATGGCAGTTGACTTACAGGTTGGAGTATAGCCTGTTCAATGGTAGCACATTCTTAGGGGAAAAAAAGTTCTCATAGTAATTGCCATTTTAAGAAAATAATTCCAAGGAGGAAGTGGCTTTTCAGTGGAAACAGACAAGATTGTGGGACGATTGTGTATATCATCCATGTGTGCTATCCTCTCCTTAATGTGTGAACCAAATGATGAATTTATGTTAAACTCTGAATTGACATCGTGCCACTCACATGTTCTTTGAGTTGTATACCAGCAGCCATATTAACACGGTGACTGAGCTGGGAGCAACACTAGAGCCACTTAAATTAGGTCCTTAAGAAAGAGATCCTGGGGCNAGTTGACTTACAGGTTGGAGTATAGCCTGTTCAATGGTAGCACATTCTTAGGGGAAAAAAAGTTCTCATAGTAATTGCCATTTTAAGAAAATAATTCCAAGGAGGAAGTGGCTTTTCAGTGGAAACAGACAAGATTGTGGGACGATTGTGTATATCATCCATGTGTGCTATCCTCTCCTTAATGTGTGAACCAAATGATGAATTTATGTTAAACTCTGAATTGACATCGTGCCACTCACATGTTCTTTGAGTTGTATACCAGCAGCCATATTAACACGGTGACTGAGCTGGGAGCAACACTAGAGCCACTTAGAGTAGGTCCTTAAGAAGAAGGTCCTGGGGTAAGCTGTTATACCCATTCATAAGGTTCTGAGTTTTATCCTTGGTGACGTCTGTGTACAGATTTCTTTCCTTACAGATGATGCTTTCACATCTACCAGCATTAAAGCTTTGGGAATACAAAGGATACCCCCGTCCCATGTTAAAATGTAGGGTCCCTCTGCTGACCAGCACTGTCATGATTACCCTATCATGGGGGTTGAGATTATTGTCTCCACCTCAGATGCTTTCAGTAGAACATTTTGTTATATATGTGTTTTGACTTCCTTTTCTCCCATTCTGTATGTGACAGTTTGTAACTAGCCAACATATTGTGACATTTGAGTGTGTAAATACTTTGTACTTGATATAGTTTGTTGTGTATGCATAGAATGTGGCAGAATGGTTCATTTTGTAGATAGGTTGCATTAATTAGGAAGAAACATGCCTCAAAATTATTACTATCCCATTGTACTTTTATTAAAATATTTTATGTTAATCATTTCAATCCCTATGACTTTAAATGTGCTGTAGCATGCCCATTTCTGGTTATTGGCTGTATTAGTAAGTTGTGTTAGAAAACGGAATGTTACATATTTTTATTATTTCACAAAATAACAGATTGAAGTATATATGGATCATACCCTTTTTTCTGTCTAAAACTTCAGGATGAAAGGATTTTACGTGTTACTTGGAAACATGACCACATTCTGTAAGATCCTAAAATACAGTGACTTTAATGTTGTCTCAATTTCTAATTTCAGATACCTCTCTCATGAATTTCATGGAAAGGTACCTGGCAAAAATAAAGTGGAGAAACGAATGAAGAAAACTGAACAGGAGGGAGTGAGTATCAATCCAGATCTGGTCATGAGCTCTTATTTCTAATACAAGCCGGAAGGTCATGGGTTCAAGTCCCGATGAAGTCATTGGATTTTTTCAATTGACCTAATCCTTCCAGCCACACTATGACCCTGGGGTCAACTCAGCCTCTAATAGAAATGAGTACCAGGAATATTCTTGGAATATTCTTGGGTGTAAAGGGCGGCTGGCATGTAGGGCTGACAACCTTGCCGCCATCTGTGAGTCGATTGTCTAGAAAATGTGGGAACCTCAACATATCACAACCCTATGGGCCTCCACGGCCTGTTACAGGGATACCTGTACTTTACTTTAGTATATTGTAGCACCCTGCTGCACTTCATTTAGTACCAAATTATTTCACAGTCTCATGTACAGCATGTCCTTCTGTAAAACTTCCTAAAAGTTATTCACCACATGTTTCGACCTATAAGGTCATCATCAGGTGTTTTAAAATTATAAATGAGGAAACTGCTGTGCTTCCATATTGTGGTTGTTGGTCATCACTATGCACATGTATATATGAATTGGCAGGTTGTTCTGTGTGTTGCGTTATGCTGCATGTCCCTCTTGCACTGCATAACACAGCAGGCAGAGCAACCAGCCACTTTGTATGTACATGCGCATAGAAGGGACTACATAGTGATGACCAACAACCACAATATGGAAGCACAGCAGTTTCCTCATTTATAATTTTAAAACACCTGATGATGACCTTATAAGTCAAAACATGTACTAAATAACTTTTAGAAAGTTCTATAGAAGGACGTGCTGCACACG